GGTACAAGTGCTCCTGGCAGATGATCGGAAATGACGTCATGGAATGCACCTACTGTCAGGAGCCAGCAGCCAACCCACTTGAACACTATCTCCTCGACTGCGAGGTCACACAAAGCCTCCGAAACAGAACTCAAATCTCCCAAGAAACACACACAACACCAGCGGCCACTCTAACCCGAAAGGCCCATACAGACCACATTCACCACCTACTCCGGGTCATCACACGATACCCACCACCCAGATAGCTTAGAAAGTATCCTCTCCCAGCAAGTGCGGACCCCAGTTCGGGGGGCGCGCCACTCCGAAACTGACCACGTCCAAGAGTGGGGGTTGGTGGTAAGCGTCCACTGATCAGGGGTCCGCTCACACTTGCAACCTGCAGCATCCTTCCAATCTGCAGGTGGGACCACCTCCAATCCCAATCCGGTCTGGCTGCTCCTGGAGCTCCAGCCGGAACCACCAAACGGGCCGCCTATAGGCAAAGGCCCGTGTCGGACTACGGTCCGACAATCTCAACAACAACAACGACCAGCAACATAAAGGACCAAAACGGGAAAAAACTCTTTGAAGAAAAAGAGATAGAATCCGCATACAGAAAAGAATGGAAAAAAGTATTTCAAATATCAGAAGAAGAAAATGAGGAATTTGATGAGGAACACGAAAATCATATCTGCAGAGAAATGGCTGAAATGATACACAGGATAACCCCATACCATGTGGTGGACAAAACCAGGCTCAACCTGACAGAACCAATTACAGAAGGAGAACTGCTACACTACATCAGGCACACTAAAGAAAAAGCACCAGGATTTACAAAAATCACAAGAAATATGATCCTATACCTACCCAATAACTGCACACAAGGCATCCTTGAAATATTTAACTCAGCTTTGGCAAGTGGATACTTCATTGATGCATTTAAAAACGCAAAACTCATATTCATACCGAAACCAGCCAAAGACCACACCCAAGTAATAAACTACAGACCGATTTCCCTACTCGAAGTTATAGGAAAACTATTTGAAAAGGCAATAAACAAGAGAATCAGAAAACACAGAAGTGAAAACGGACTACTAAACCCCAGACAACATGGATTCACTGAAAAAAAGGGAACACATACTGCACTAGCCATAATCACGGAAACGTTAGCCAACAAGAAAGCAGAAAGAAACCAAGTCAACATTGTACTAAGAGACGTTAAGAAAGCATTCGATAAAGTATGGCACCTAGGATTAAAATTTAAACTGCTTCAATTAAATCTCCCAGAACCAATAGAAAAAATTGCCTGTGATTTCCTAGACGATCGCACGGCACAAATACAAATTGGCAGCTTTATAGGACCACCCATAAAACTGAAAAGTGGAGTACCCCAAGGCAGTGTTCTTTCACCCACGATGTACAATATCTACACAACAGACCTACCAGAACCATCTCCCTACAGTGAATACATAAGTTTTGCAGACGATATCACACAAATCATCACATACCCTGGCAAATCAACAGCAATAATGGCACAACATACTGCCAACGCAATAGAGAACATCAACCAGTACGAAAAAAGTGGAAGATACAAACGAACACCAACAAGTTTAAAATAATCCCAATCGCTAAAAGGAAAAAAGACCCCATTATAGTAGACAACAAAGTGATTCCATATGCCATGGAAGGCACTGTCCTAGGGCTGAAGATAACAACAAAAGGCTACAAAACATTCATCACCGAAAAACTTGTAAAAACCAGAAACATGGTAACTAAATTAAAACGTTTCAGAAGCCTGTCAGCAAAAAACAAATTAAAGTTATATAGAGCCTATGTCCAATCCCGACTAGTATATCCGCCAATTCCCCTACATGCAATAAAACAAACAAACCTAAAGAAACTGCAGATAATTCAAAACTTAGCCCTAAGAGATGTATATAACATCAGATATCCTGACATAGTCACCAACCGTCAACTACACCAACGAGCCCAAATAGAACCCCTAAACATTTACCTACACGAACACTCAAAAAGAATATGGACAAAACTAGAAGAAATAGAATCAGGACCAATCAAAGAATGGATGGAAGAGACAGAAGACGGAAGAAGAGAACACTCGTGGTTCCCTAAAAGTAAAAGAAGAGCCCTAGAACCCACACCAACTCCACTCTATTAAAAGATGCAAGGTTACCCTAGTGACAACCTGGCAGCCAAACCACACACAACATTAGATCATAAAAAGATAGGATGTTCTTGGCAGAAACACAAGTACCTGCCCTAGACTCCTCACCATTGGCTAGGACATAACACACGAAAATGAAAGGCAAAATTGCAATAGTTGCTAAACATAAAAACACCTGACATAAATATAACACCTAAGACGAAATTTAGCTTAAACACAAACATGAGATAACAGAAGCACTAGGGTTGAGCCCCAAGACCTAGCATTCTACTACTATTTTCCAATTTCCTCGCTTTTCTTCTGCAGTATCCACCAACCCCAAGTCCCTCCAAATTCCACCATTATTCTTCAAGTCCAGTTCCCGCACCACCAATCTACGCATCTGCATGAAGATTTCTTCACACTTTACTTCATCCATCGATCGATCGAGCAACATCTCTCACAGCTCCTCACCACCCAGCTTCCTGAGAAACCTCGCCCTATAGGACCTCTGAGCAAGTTTCTCCTCACCTAGTCACTCCTAAGCACTGCGCTGTACAACAATATATATACAGAAAGCGCATTGTGAGTTTCTATCCTACCTCATTCCTGAGTGTGAGATATCTACATGTACGTACGTTTGTGTGTCCATACTAAGAGAATTGACAACTGGCCACCTACAGTCCGCTACAGTACCCATGCCAGAAAGGCTAATCCCGCAATGGCAGAAGTTACATTCAACTCAGTCGCTGTACATTTAACTATGAAAATCAATGCCATGGGTCAGGTGAATTTCTGACGTCTATTTATATATCCTAATCAGAGATTGAGCCTGCCAAGAAGAAGTGAAATACACATAAGCGGAATTTCTAGACAAGGACCCTCTATGGGTATTGGTTGAGATCTTGGAGATAAGAAGATTGACATATTCTTTCAGGAGGTTAATGGCTTTCTTGAATAGACAACTGACACTAACTAAACTACAAGCATCAGATTCTCTGATGTTTGGGCATCAAAATGATCTTACTTCAGTAGCAATTGGAAATTCATGGCCATCCCCAGGGACAATATCATCGGATGCCATTCGTACTGGCAGACTCGACACTCACTTACTTAACAAGTGTTACTAACAGTTAAAGCTTTCAACATCACTCACAAAGGATCTTGTATGCTATATCTGTAATCCGACATATCTAAGTTGACTCAAAACAGTGGTGTTCTCTCACACATTCAGATTTACTTTATAGAGAGGCTGGTTTCAGGAAGTCAGAGAAAATGGACACAGCAGATGGGAGACTCAATAAAGAAGGCATAGCTACATTTTTTGTGGGCTATTGAGAGTAATATGAATCGTCTGATTTTACGATAACTGACGTGTACGACCGTGGTCATTACACCAGAGGCTGGTTGCAAGCGAGGTCACGTCAAACCCAAAGGCGTTTTACCGCTATGCAAAGTCGAAATTAAAAACACGAGTAGGAGTATCAGACCTGAGACTTGAAGATAGTAGTTACGCAGATTCTGACCAGGATAAAGCTGAGGCATTGAACAGCTTCTTTTCCTCGGTGTTCACAAGAGAGGATGCGATTAACCTTCCTGCGTTTGAGAACAGATGGTTCGACACAGCACTGACCCACATTGTGTTCACAGAAGAGGGTATTAGAAATAAACTGTCCAGGCTAAAGGTCCATAAGAGTCCCAGCCCTGACATGGTGCATCCTAGAGTGCTAAGAGAGTTGCAACGAGCTTGCCGAGCCCCTGAAGATCCTGTTTTGTAAATGCCTGGATGAACAAAAGGTTCCCAGTGAATGAAAAGTGGCTTATGTGAGCCTGACCAGCATAATATATAAAGTACTTGAGAGTATTATCGGAGATGCCGCAATGGAACATCTACTACAAAACAACCTTGTAAGGGATTGCCGGTTTTATGCCGGGGCGCTCCTGCTTAACACAATTGCTCAAGGTATTGGATATTTGGACCCATATTCTGGAAAGGGTTGGTAATATCGACAATATACATTGAGTGTAAGGATGATCCAAACAGGCCTTGGGTAACATTGGTAAGACCTAAGACTTCTTTGTTTTCAACCACATCCGAGTCTGTGGATTCTTTATTCAAGATATTTTATGGAAAGGTTTCTAAACTTCCTGATCTCTCAACACTTAAAAAGAGCCAGGAAGGCCAAGCAACTGTGGGTTATCATTCATTGTTTTTAGAACATGATACTACAATTTTATGGCCTGATATTTGTCCCAAAAATGATGTTTGAAATAGATTAAGTCTGGGCTAATATATTGAAAGACTTAGCATTCATTCCCTCAGATAGGAATGCTCACAAGTTTAATTTTTTGAAGTTCCAACGCAATGACAAAAAGAGTTCCTTATATGAACTTTCCCAGTATTTATCGGCTCCAAAATATGCTGACATAAGCTATGAAATAAATTTTAAACCAGTTGCTTCTGCACTGTTGCAGGAAGAGTTCAAATTTATGAAGTTGGCAGCGGATATTTGGTCTGCAATCATGATGTGTCAGTTATTGACTAAGTTGGTGCTGGACTATAAGGACAGTTCAGAAGTAGACATGTTTTGCTGCTTCTGCTATACAAGGGATTCTATATTCCCGGTACAACTCATTTATGGAAATGTTGTTGAAAGCCCTAAAACTAAACGCCCAGCTAAGGAAGCAAGCCACTAACAATGCTTAAAGTGGTGGTGCTTATTTATTGCTATGTTCTTCCCCTCTTTCTCCTGCTTTGTT